AAATAATTTTTAACCATTTTCAATTCAACAATATTTATTCATCAATAATGTATTTTTAATATATTTTTAATAATGTAATTTTAAAAAATTTAAAATTATAATATAACATTTTTTCGAGCTACTTATGAGTTTTTCGAGTCGAGTATCGAGTAGCTCGTTTCGGCTCGTTAAGAACTCGAGTCAAGTTCGAGCTCGAGTCGAGTCCATTCGATCCGAGTATTTATCGAGCCAAGATCAAATCGATCTCGAATAGTTCGCGATCTATCTTGTCTCACTTAGCACAAGTCTTAACAACAAAGTTGGTTAAAACTCCAACTACTTGAACTCCTTTCACTGTCCAAACTAAAATCCCAATCTCGCTTCACTAAAGCTTGGTTTCCCAATCTTCAATATAATTAAGCATTTATTTCAGAAGATCTAGGTTTTTTGCAAACGGAGATTTCAGAGCAGAAAGTAGTTGTTGTTATCATGGTTGGTGGACCCACAAAAGGTCAACGACCCTAGCCTTTGTCTTCTTGCTTTGTTCATACAAATTCAGCCGATTTTCTTGTTGTTGGGTTTTGATTTTGATGATTGTTGCTTTTTATTGATTCCCCCCCCCCTCGCGCAGGGACCAGATTTAGGCCTTTATCATTCAATACTCCAAAACCTTTGTTCCCTTTAGCAGGTCAGGCTATGGTTCATCACCCAATTTCTGCTAGTAAACGGGTGCCTTTTTCAGCGCCCTATGTTTAATTTTCTTTATAAATTTCAAAGCAAATAGTCACATTATTTGTATTATTTGTTATTCTAATCTTATGTTTGATGATCCAAAGTGTTCGTCCTATGATCATTCCAATTAGTTAACATATATTTAGACATGGGCACAACAGTATGATTCTCTAAATATAGGAAAGAATTTGAGCTCGGACATGTATTGTATGATATTGCTCTCATTCCCTAGTTCGTGTAACTTATAGTTTTCCTTTTGTTGCTGTTGTTGTAATTTCAATCATAATGTTTGTATTCACTGATCTACCAGACCTTTATTTTGTTTGTTGCATAGATACCGAACTTGGCTTAAATTTTTCTAATTGGGTTTTATGAGGAGAGAGAGTTACATTATACATCTCTTCGATCTCTAATGAGTTAAAAATACCAGTGAGGTGATTACTGATTAGTGCCCCAATCCCTTTTATATTTTCTCATTTTTAGCCTTTTATTCTGAGGTGGATCTCACTCATATATTTTTTCCTTCCTTTTCAAATTGATTGAGTTAGATATTTGAAAGAGGATAAACCCCATGGTTCAGCTGGTGGCCTCTATTACTTCAGGAATATTATCATGGAAGAATACCCGGTTTGTATTCTGCATTCATTTTTGTACTCATTCATGCTCATTTTTTATTTTGTTTTTTCCTCCTCTTCAAAGCTCCGAGTCTCTGTCATCTATAACTTCTCAAACAATGTTAAATCATTGTGCATATGCTTCGAGTTACTTCTCATATCGTTTTCCTTTTGTGCAGTCGCATATCTTCCTGCTGAATTGTGATGTTTGTTGCATTTTTCCGTTGACAGACATGCTTGGTAACTTTCCTATTCTTATGTAGTTATAAGTTTCCGAGTTTGCTTCCCTGAGCACTAATTAGATGCTTGTTTCTGCAGAGGCTCACAAAAGATATGGTGGGATGGGAACGGTGTTAGTAATCAAGAAAAGTTATCTTCTTTTTCAAATTTCTATTATCTGTAGATTGATTATATAGTTTACCTTAATTGCAAAAACTTTAGTCCTTGTTGTGTTTGTCTTTTGATGTTTTCTTCTTGTTTCCCGTGCAGGTTTCTGCTGAAACAGCAAATCAGTTTGGTGAGTTGGTTGCTGATCACGAAAGAGCTACTGCACTACACTGAGAAACCTGAGACTTTTGTATGTTCATGGTGCAATTTAAACCTTTTACTTAGTGTTTGAGGAATTTATAGCTTGATTAATAGTCCTAAGCCAACCTTTTCTTTTTGCTGTTTACATTTGATGGATTGCAGGTAAGCGATTTAATTAACTGCGGCGTTTACATCTTTATTCCCGATATCTTCACTGCCATTCAGGAAGTCTCCACACATCGAGAAGACCAAGGTTGTATTTGTATTCGTAATTGCAATTTTTCATGCCTTAGCCATTAATGTAATCTTTGTATGGTCTTGCAAAAGATATGAATAAAAATCATTGAATATTCCATCATTTTCTTTTGGGCTACCTGCTGCATGTTGCAGCCTTCATGCTTTTACGACACAATTGTTTCTAATATACAAGGAAAACTTTTATCGCACTACTCGCAAATGACTTTTTCTTTGTCCTATTGCAGCTAATTTTTGCCATTTGTCAACCTTTGACACACTTCAATCTTTGAAAAGGTTGTCTCTTTCACTTGTCTTGCTGTGTTAGACAGTTATCTTTTACTGTTTTACTTTCAAATATTTAAGACTATAGATGACAAACATGTCTGTTTATAATTTGTCTTTTGGATACATCTTGATAGTATTCGTAACTTTACGATTGATTTTTACTATAAAAGAACAAAAAACTTTTGCACATATTCCCAGGGTGCACTATCAATCTGAAAAATTCTTTCTCAAATATCTCTCACTGTGCTTATATTTTTCGTAATAAGGTCGAGATTAAATGTTTTTATCTTCGATACTTTGTTATGGCCTCTGCTCCTAAGAAATTGTTTGATATCCTTTATTCTTTTTGGGTGCATTTATTTGTTGTGAATTGCTGCAGTTCGTATCTGAATGCTGATATCTATTTCCTCTAGGGCCTTTCCTCTTGATTTTGTTAGATCGGATCAAGATATTTTGTCCCCATTTGCGGGAAAGAAGCAGCTGTATACTTATGAAACCATGGATTTCTGGGAACAAATCAAGACTCCGGGGTAAAATGTTTTGGATTGATGTTGCCCTTCTTTTTCGATGAGGTATCATTGATTCTGCTCCATAATTAAACTTGGCATTATCCATACAGGATGTCTTTAAAATGTTCTGGTCTTTATCTTTCTCAATTTCGGTTAACTTCCGCTGATCTATTGGCTGGTGGAGATGGAAGTAAAAGTGTTTTGATTGTTGGCGATGTTTAGGTGCATCCCTCAGCAAAAGTACATCCGACCGAAAAGGTATTCCAGCTAGTATTTTTTATTGGAGCAGTTCTCGATATTTGCTGCTTAATCGTGGAACCAAGTGCTAAGTCACTTTCAGGAACAGATTGGCCCCAATGTCTCTATTTCGGCAAATGTTCGTATAGGAGCTGGGGTAAGGCTTATAAATTGTATTGTCTTTGATGATGTCGAAGTTCAGGTAAGGAAGTTAATGCTTGGGGAAAAAATCACAATTTTCATTGTGATGAACCTGTAATAGTATTTATTCATTCGAGAAAAATAATCTGGTGTATTTTCTCCTGGCAGGAAAACGCTGTTGTTATTAATTCTATTGTCGGATGGAAGTCGTCTATAGGGAAGTGGTCTCGTGTCCAGGCAAGTTTAGTACCCTTGTACCGATCATAGGCTGTGTTCAATTAGTCTTGTTTATAATCGTAGCATGCACAAACTGTTTCCTTGGTGGGGTATAGAACTTGATTGATGATCACCCGATGATAAACTGTAGGAAGAAATTACCAAATTTTTCCTTAACGAAAGATCATGCTCGAACATCAGTACATAAGACAGATTATTTTGCTCAGCTGGCTGATGGTTAAACTTATATTTCCAGGCTAATGGAGATTACAATGCAAAGCTCGGAATTACTATCCTTGGTACTTTTCCTACTACTAAATTTCTAGATGGTTTGGTATAATATACTTTGAACAGATAGAATCGTCGTTGTGCGTTGAACATTTGTTTAATTTCTGTTGCAGGGGAGGCTGTAATTGTAGAAGATGAAGTTGTTGTGATCCATAGTATTGTTCTTCCGAATAAGACCCTTAACTCAAGCGTGCAAGATGAGATCATTTTGTGAGATCGGAGATGTCTTTCCAACTTAGTCCTTACTTTTAACCTTTCTTGTTTCACTAGTAGCATCGCCAACTAGCAGCAACAATTGCCATACAAGAAACTTTTTGCCCAGTTTTCGAGACCTATCAAGCTCCGGTAGCACTGAAGACTTCTACAAAGTAAACGTAATGAAGGTTCCAACCGTATCCGAACGACTCAAAGAAAAAGGGTTCTTCAAATGGATATGAAGATTTAGGGATCTCGATGTTTCTTATTTACCATTCATGCCGGTCTCAATGAAAAAACGGTATATTGCTGTGAAACAGATAAAAGAACTGTGGAACCTTTGTACTCTTGCCTGATTGTTATATGAAGATATGCTCTGCGGTGATTTTCTTCTGCGAAAGAAAAAATCTTCAGTGTCCAACACAGGAAATCTACCAACATAATACACAGATCATAGGCGAAAAGAGAGCCAACAAACATAAGCGATTTTGGTATACATGCAACCACTTCGTCCTCTATGATAGGCCATACACGAAAGAAAGGTAAAAGATTTAAATCATATGCTATTAACCACAAAATACCTTGAATGAGTTGCATACTTTTTCTTGTTTCTGCAAATATCAGTAACCAAAAGCAGATAAGCCTTCGTGAATCGGATGTAAGATATTGGTACGTGTCCAACATGGTTATGTTAAATGGTTTTTAAGTTTTTCCATATATTAATTTGCAAGACCCCTCCAATGTCTAAAAATGTGTTGGACAAAAGTTAGGTTCCATGACGAAACCGCAAACGCCTACGACTTTTCTATGACATTTTACATCAGCTGAATAGACGAACGAGATGGGGAAGACGACTGCGAAAACATAACCCTGAAAAAAGAAACTGCATAACATACATGGAGTTTAGAAAGATAGTAGGGCACGCAAAGTTATGCTCGAGAGGTGTATGTTACAACTTATTTAGCAATCATCATACTCTATTGCTAATCTTACTCTTTTCCTCAACTTAAAAGAGAAGAAAACACATGATACAATTATGGACATAAACATAGACATTTATTATTGCATTTGAAGAATCAAAGCTCATATTACAGTAATTGCCCATCTCCCTTTCAGCACAGGGAAGGAAAAAGGAAAACCTGGGAAGAGAATATTGTAAATAAATTAGGCTTTTCACCATCAAAATTTGGATGGTTTTACCATAAATAAAAAGCCTAATCTAACCCTTTTCAACTAGGTTTAGTTGATTGTGTGAGCAGTGTTGTCATGGGGTCTCCTTTGGAGGTTAACCAATGAGAAGTAAGCTCCACTGGGTCCTTTAGCCAACAATGACTGATGGGTCCCTTTCTCCACAACCTTGCCTTTATCCAACGCTGCAATTTGGTCACAGTTTTGAATGGTGCTTAGCCTATGAGCCACTACCACACTGGTTCTCCCCACCATTACTCTCTCCAGTGCATCTTGCACTGCTTTCTCTGATTGACTGTCAAGTGCACTGGTTGCCTCATCCAAGAGTAAAATTGCAGGGTTTTTCAGTATGGCCCTTGCTATTGCAATACGTTGCTTTTGGCCACCGGATAGCTGAACCCCCCTTTCACCACACAATGTATGATATCCATCTTTTAACCCTGAAATGAAATCATGGGCATTAGCTGCTATGGCTGCCTCGATGATCTCTGCTTCGTGCGTCTCATCTGACGCACCGTATGCAATGTTTTCTTTGATTGTACCGGCAAATAATGTGGGCTCTTGACTAACAAGTGCAATGTGTTTCCTTAGTGACCTAAGGTGATATGACCTTATATCTCTACCATCAATCTTCACTGCTCACTCAAGGGGATCATAAAATCTCTCAATTAGTCCAATGATGGTTGACTTACCGGACCCACTTTGTCCTACCAATGCAGTTGATTTACCTGCTTCGATTTTTAGTGAGAAGCCTCTAAAGATCATAATGTCGGGTCTGGCAGGGTATGCAAAGGCTATGTCGCGAAGTTCCACATTGGCTGTTATCTTTTCAGGTTTGTAACCATCAGGGTCTTCTGGCTCAATTCTCGTATATCGGTCCAAAATTGCAAAGACTGATCGAACTGCATCCGATCCCTTTGCAAGGTCAGAAGTCATGCTTCCTGCATCAGCGATCACTCTGCCTGTGCTTACTAAGATCATGAAAGTCTCGAACAAGGCCTTTGCAGTGATGTAACCTTGAGACATAAGTTTGCCACCATACCAAAAGTCTAATGCCCAAGTACAAGTTGTTAGGCTTTGTGATGTGCCAAGGCCAATACCAGCAAACCAAGCTTGGCGAATGCTCTCTATTCGTGGGCCTTCTTGGGCTTTCTCGAGCATCTTCAGGATTCGGTCTTGGGATGAGAAGGAAGTGATGGTTCGGAGGTTGGAAACTGCCTCTGCAGCCAGCTTGCTGCTGTCATCTTGGGCTTTGATAGCCTTCTCAGACATGCTTTTAAGCAAGACACGTCTGGCATAGAAACAAACAATGATGATCGGTTGGACGGCTATCATCACAAGTGCAAGCCTCCAAGCTATGACCAACCCCATCGTACAAGCTATGGTTACTGCTGAAATGGTTTGCACAATTAGTGCCATCCTGTCACCTACCAAATATCTCACCTGCAACAACAATGAGAACAATCAGAAACCACAATCTGGCTCGGTGATCTTATTGGCTTAATGTCTCCTTAATCCATAGAAGATAATTACAAAATAGGTGCAGGATCACAATAAAAACCACCCACTTTCCAACCACCAAATGAACTGATCTAAGATTATTGACCCTTCAAATTTTACAAAATCTTGGTTAAAAGTCGGAAGACTCAACCTTATCAAAGCTTAGTAGATATGATTGTTTTATGCAATTGGTGCAATAGAGGAGACATGAAAAACTAAGACAATGCATAAACTTTCCATCTCTTTTCAGTTTCAACTGCGGATGGCATTGAAAATTTATTGCACAAGAATAAGAAAATACATACCACATTGGCATCCTTGGCAAGTCTAGAACAGATAGCTCCACTTGAATTCTCTTCTTGGTCAAGCCAGCCTATTTCAAAAGTGAGTATCTTTGAAAGCATTCGCTCTCGAATCCTCTTTGTCAAGTACTCTCCCATATACGCAAAATTATAATGCTGACCAACATTTATCAGCAATGAAAACACTGACAACCCGAGAAAGCACAAGGCATAGATCTTAGTCTTTTCCTTGATCTCATGATGATCAGTCAAAAAATATACTGATAACATAGATCCTAGTGAGAATGCATAAACAGGTTGAACTGCCCCAAATAGGATTGCACATGAATATCCCAAGATTGCTTGTTTCCATTCTGGTAAGTTCAATGCCAACAATCTTCTAAAAGATGGGACTGGCAATTTTTCTTGATCTTCCACCATAGATTCTCCAGTCGGCGGAGCACGGTTTTGAGAAAACGAATTGGCAGAGCTCGACCGACTAACCAATGAAAGTCTTCTACTACTTGTATTGTTGATATCCGTATTTGAGATTGAACATGAAGCATAAGTAGATAAATTTGAGTAAGCTTCTTCAGGGTTCTTTTCTTTCTCTGTTTGCTGAAGGTGGACTAATGCAGTGTAGTGGCCATTTTCATTTTCTATCAACTCGTCATGTGATCCGGTTTCTATAACCTGGCCATTTTGGACAACTGCTATAAGATCAGCATTGCGGATGGTGGAGAGACGGTGGGCAATTATTATGGTGGTTCGGCCAATGGCGGCTTGGTCTATAGCTTCTTGTACAACTCGTTCGGATCCTGAGTCTAGTGCACTTGTTGCCTCGTCCAAGAGGAGGATTTGGGGTGCTTTTATAATTGCTCTTGCTATAGCAATTCTTTGCTTTTGTCCCCCGGACATTTGAACCCCTCTTTCACCAACCTTTCCAAATAAAAGCTTGAGTAAATGATATGAACTTGTAAAGGATGATCCAGAAATCGTTTTTGAAAAATAGTATGCAACAGATGCCAAAGGACGAGGACTAACCTGAGTGTCATATCCCTGTGGCAATTGGGATATGAAATTGTGGGCATTTGAGGCTTTGGAAGCTTCAATAATCTCTTCCATACTAGCATCTTCCTTGCCAAAAAGTATGTTCTCCTTAATGGTTGTAGCAAAAAGTGTTGGCTCCTGACTCACCAAACCCATCTGTGACCTTAGCCACTTGACTTGCAATTTATCGATGGCGACCCCACCAAGGAGTATCTCACCCCCTAGAGGATCATAAAACCTTTGCATTAGTGCTATGATTGTGGATTTTCCAGAGCCACTACCACCCACTAATGCCACAGTCTTTCCAGCTGGAATGGTGAGGCAAAAATCTTTGAGAATCATGGTTTCGGGCCTTGATGGATATGCGAATTCAACATGCTTGAATTCCACTGATCCTGCAAAATTTTCCAAGATTTCACCTTCTAAATTGTCTGAATCAATCTTGGGGACCCTTTTTATCACCTCCATGATCCTTTCCCCAGCTGAACATGCTTCAGAGAAATACTTCAGGTTCGACAAGCTAGCCCCCAATGCCCTGATGGTCCACCAAAATCAACAAAAATCATTATAAAAGTTGAATTTATTTTTTTAGAAAGCATAAAAATAATCCAAAAAGTGTTCAAAGTAACGTACAGGCCTCCCATGGCAATGGCTGCACCGACAACGAAGACTGTCCCTCCTTTAGCACCATGGTACATGACCATCCTACTGCCATAATAAGCCAAGAATGACCAAGTTGCAAAAACCACCCCATTGCTTCCAATTGCCAGACCTTTAGCCAAACCTTGTCTTAACCCCAACTTGACTGACCCTTGTAAGGCCGCTGAGAATTCGGCAATCGTCTTGCTTTCACCAACAAAAGCGTAAACTGTTCTTATAGAAGAGATTGCCTGTTCTGCTATTATACCAGCTTTGTTATATTCTTCTCTTATCTTTCTAGCTATTCCTATCAATCCTCTTCCATACATTAAACCGGGAATCACCAAAAGAATGGCAAAAGGGAATCCTACTAGTGCTAGTCTCCATAGCATTATGAACGCTACCATGTAGCACCCCACGAATATTGCAACATTCATAAGAAAATTTGGAACCTGATTAACATTAATTTAAGCATTAGCAAATAAATGAAGAGATTATATCAAATTTGCAAATGAAAATACCTTTTCACTAAGAACATCTTGGATCACTAGGCTGTCATTTGAAACACTAGTGATAACTTCTGCTGTGCTTGTGACACGCAAATCAAAGTATCCCACATCTTGTCTTAGGACTGCTTTCAAATATCTGGCTCTTATCCTTGTTGCTTGTCTTTCACCTGTTCTTGACCAACAAAATCCCTCTGGAAAAAAAAACCCAGAAATCATTGAAAATTGAATCATAACTTCAAATAAAAAAAATTGAATACAAGAGAAAACTACCTAGAAAACAAGCAAGCCATGTCCCACAGGCCAAATACAAAAGTGCCACCGAGTTCTGCCACCCATAAAACCAAACCTATTAGCTTTCTGCTTGTGTCAACGTGCCCTTCAAGGCCCGTTTGCATGTGTGTGCCTTTACCAAAGAGAAAGAAAGAAAGAGAGAGTCAGAAAGAAAAGTAACTAAAAAAAAGTAACCTTGTTGATATTATGGACGAAGTTTTCTTTAGTGAAAGCTGAAGCACCGCCCAGATTGTTCATTAACTCGCTGGTAACAAGCAAAAGAAGAGGTGTAGTAAAACCATCACCAACGGCTCCGATGAAGCCAAGAGTCATCAACCACCAATCCACACCATCGGCATGCATGAAAATGGACTTCATGGACCCATTTACTTTCTTGACTGCACCAGTTCTCACCTTCTCTCTCTGATCATCACTCATTTATGCTATATGTCCCCATTTTAAGAAACAAAACAAACCACCCAAGATTCTCAGAGACTCAGACCACCTAAGATAACTGCTACCTGTTTTGTTTCGTTTCAAACAGCTTTGTTTCTTTCCTTTTTTTTTCTCCCTTTGCTTGACTCGAAACAGTTTTGTCTCTCAAGGCAAGTGAGAAAGGAAACAAGTGATGAGTTATGTTTTTAGCTAAGGAGCAGACATGGGAAACGTCTTGTAAACATAGGTGTTCTTTGTAGGGTAGATTCAACCAGAAATGACTCGTGCCACCCAATCAACAAATTATTATCAAGCACAATTTCTTTTATTTTTTTCCGGCATTTTTCCAGTTCCTATCCAAGCATTCTATGCATATATTACATTACATGTACCTATCGGATAAAATACATATTTAATCACATAAATATTTTATCTTACCATTAATTATTTTTTAAAATAATATTTAAAATAATATTTTGATCATAAATTAATGTGTTTTTACAAGATAATATTACACTATCATTAAAAAATTAAAAAAATAATTACATTATCAATTTTATTTTTATTTTAAAATAAAGATCGAAACAGAATTAAAATATAATTTTATTAATCTAAGATAAATACATTATAATATATATTCAAAAATAATTTGTAATCATTTAACATTAAACTTTATACTTTTAATATTTCTGATATACGTATTTAAAACTTCAAAATATATATATATATATATATATATATATATATATAATATATATATTAACCATTAGGGAATGTCTCAGGAAAGGCGGGTTAATATACGGCTAATATACAGCATTACCGGATACATTAAAATGTATTTAATAAATTCGGTTTAGCGGTACCTATTATGTTGACAACTAATAATGTTTTAGGTAGAAAATATGAAAAACTATTAAAAAATTTGGTAACCGGTAAACTTTGGTTATCGGTAAGTATTTATCCTTTTTATAAAAGTGTCCATACGTTTAACATATCAAGTAAATTTTACCGGTTTTGTCATAATGAATCTGGTTTTGTCATATTTTTACTTGTTATATTGTAAATTATCTATCCTTTTTATAAAAGTGTCCATACTTATTTCACTGTGAAAATATATTTATTATTATCTTTAGTTAATATTGTTAAATTTAAAATCTAAATAATATTTTATAAAATATCAAAACAATCAAATAATTTTTGTGTAAATGAAATTATTAAATTAATATTGTAGGTGGAAAACATGAAACACTATTAAAAAATTTGAAACATAAATTACATAACTTTCAAAAAGTATATCATTTTTATAAAAGTGTCCATACTTATTTCACTGTTGAAAACATATATTATTATATTTGGTTAATATTGTTAAATTTAAATGCTAAATATATTTTATAAAATATCAAAACAATCAAATAAAATTTTGTGTAAATTAAATTATTAAATTAATATTGTAGGTGGAAAACATGAAACACTATTAAATAAATTGAAACATAAATTACATAACTTTAAAAGCAGTTTTAAATCCTAAAAAGTGTCGATACTTTTAAAAAATATCGATCCAAAACGATATACCAGGTAAAAATATGATAAAACCGGTAACAAAATGATAAAACCGGTAAATTTAAAAGTGTCGATACGTTATATAAGGATCGACACTTTGTGAATTTAAAAGAGAAGCAGTTATAGCGCCTATAATGTGTCGATACTTTAAAAAAAAATATCGATCCACAACGATATAACAGGTAAAAATATGATAAAACCGGTATCAAAATGATAAAAACGGTAAAATGATACCGGATATATTGAAAGTGTCGATACTTTCGTAAGTACGTGTAATAAATTATCGACACTTTCAAAGAAATAGGTAATTATCCTTTCGAAAGTATCGACACCTGACATAAAAGTATTGACACTTTGTATTTGTATCGATTAAATATAAATAACATATCCGATGAAAATATAAGCTAAATATCCTCTGAAAATAGATAGAACGGACGAGTTTTGAAATCGAAGAGTAATTGTTGCTGCATTTCAGAAGGCGTTTCTAAAGCGAAGTTTGTTTGTTTGTTGCTGCAGTCGAATCGAAAAGTATGTTGTCGAAACCCTAATTTTTTATTATTACAGTAATCGCGATAGGGTTTTTTATGTGTTGTTTGGGGTTTTGGAGTAAGGAAGCATTTGGGACCGATTGCAGGTAGAAATAGATATTCAAGGAAAAATATAAATGTCGATACTTTTATTAAATATTATAGGTAGAAAATGATATTATAGGTTGTATAAATGTGCCGACACATTTGGTGTGGCCATTCAAATTCTTTGAAGAAAACCGTTTACCACAAGAGTAGTTATCTATATTTGTATATTGAAAAGTGTATGTAACAAAATAATTTGATTTGCGTAAACTGATATATGAAGGAAAAATGGAGTCAATGGGTTGGAAAATTGTTGGTGGAGCAGATGACTTTGAAATTGAGGCCGAGACTCGAAAGCAACCAAAGGGTGGATATATGTACTTCTAGTAAGTATCAATGTCTTTTTGTTATTATTGTTGAAATGGTAATTGGATTAAAGTATCGATAAACTTTAAATTGATTACAAATTTTAAATGTTAACAGTATGGCCGAATGCAAAAGGATGAAGGGAGATGGCACACAGAGCGGTTCGGTATGTAAAATGAAATTGACATTGAGTAGTATTAGTATTTAGTGTTAATGTATTGATTAAGAAACGTTTATGTTTAATATTAGGTGAAAAAAGATGTGAGGTCCAAATGGAATTCAATGAGTGATGCTGAAAAGGAACCTTACATCACACAGTCAAGGAATGATAGTAAAGAATACAAAGAACGGAGGAAAGCACATGAAAATAAGGTATTCATTAAACTTGTAAATACGTGATACAAAATATATAAGAACTATAACATTATATATTGTTAAAAAATGTAGGAAGTTTCGACAAGATGCAGCATTAAAAGGGTGAATTTATTAATTAAACACCTTAAGGAGAAGGGTCAGTTGAATGTGCTGGGAGAAATAGGTTTTGGATCGTTGATCGGAGTAAGGGATCGACCTATTCGGAGGGAATTGTGTCGATCCTTGATGGCACAATTTGACGTCAGTCAATGTATGGCTAAGTATGGTGATTATTCATTCCCTCTGGGGGTATCGACTGCTGCAGCCGTATTGGGGGTACAAAACAAAGGCAAACGTGTTATAGAAGTCTGTAGGAGTAAGAACTGGAAAGCACTTGCCTCCAAATATGGTTTGAATCTAAGGTGACATATACTGAAGTTGAAGAGGATATCAAAAGTGGATCTTACTTGGGGGATGAGCTGAAGGCCCGAGTTCTATTGTACCTTGTCGGTATATTTCTTTGTCCAACGGGTGATACGTCAACGAACAAGGAATATATGAAGCTCATTTGCGATGAAGGCTTGAAGGGTGAATTCAATTGGGCTGAATATATCCATTCGAGATTGATTGAATCAATTATCACCTTTAAAAAGGGCAGCCAGAGATACCTCAAAGGGTGCATAGCAATCTTAGAGGTAAATGAGTGAATCACTTTTTTGTGTTTATATAAAAATTCTAATTTTATTATAAATGCAGGTTGCACTGTTCGATTTTTGGTCGGGCTGTGAGGCAGTGCCGGCTTATGAAAGAACCGGAGTGGCACGCATCCGTGCATGGGGGAAGGAAGAGGTGGTTAGAGTGATGGTGAAGTTGAAGTGGATAGAGGGAAGAAGCAAGAAATGGTAATAAATGTAATTAAATAATATTAAGAATATAATCAATGTCTTAATATTGTAATTTAATTTTTTGAAGGTTATTGGCAAGGATGTAGAGGAGGCGTGGAGGCAGAGGAGAAGAAAGGAGGGATGGGTATTGGGGGATGAAGGTGAGGGGACGACGGTGAAGCAAAACAGAGTAACTTCGACATTTTGATGTCTGAATTGGCTGATATCAAAAAAATCCAATTGAAATCATGCAAAGACAATCAAGAGTCGAAGAGAAACTTGATCAAGTCGTAGAGAAACTCGAGAGGCATAAGGGGGTAGTGGAAGGAAAAATAGATGGAGTGGTGAAAGAAGTAGAGGTGTTGAGGGGTGAAGTGGTGAAAGAAGTTTCGGTGTTAAGGGGTGATATTAAGATGGTGACGGGAGAAAAATTTGAGGGAGTGGTGAAGGAGGTTGTTGATTTGAGGAGTGAACTTACGGGGGTGAAGGGGGTGGTTGATAAATACTCGGATGAAGGAGCTCAATTGAAGGGTGAAATAAAAGATATGAAGAGCTATGTAGAAAAAAAAGTACGATGAATTGAAAAAATATGAAGAAGAAAAGAGGGAGGAGGAAGAAGAAGAGATGGAAGAAATGAGGAGGAAGGAAGTCGATGTCATTTATACACCGGAGAGTGTTATAGCAGCAGTTTTGGATTCGGAATGTCCTGCACCCCAGAAGAAGAAGCAGAAGGTAAGTTTAAAAAAGAATACTTAATTTGATTTATTATGTTGTTGTGACAAAAATTTGTATGCAAAATTGTAGGTTGAAAAAGCGGACATTCCAACCGGAATTGATGACATCGAAGCTGCAATTTGTGATTATTTATGGAATAGCGAGTTAGAATCGGGGTAAGTGAAATATATTGTTTTGTGAGTGATATTTAAATATTCATGACAAGATATTAATCCTAATGATTCATACAGATATTCTGTAATATCAATGGGAAATCAATTCGCTACTGTATACGACGTGCAACGTTGAAGCCTACGGAATGGGTTGGCGGTGTGGTAAGTAGAAAGTAGAAAATAAATAAAACTTATTGAATATGTTCTGATTGTGTAATTAATTTGTTAGGTTATCGATTTGCTCGCCTGGACCATATGCTACGATTCTCAAAAGTCACACCGGAGGATTGGCTACCTTCCATACCTCTTAGTGGTGAGTTAAATTAATAAATATTGAAAAGTAGTGTTATAGACGGTAAATTAATAATGTTTGTTGCGTAATTACAGCAACAGGCGTTGGAAGGCAACAACAAAGAAAGTGTTGAGGGTATTTCTACCTTCTGGGGTGTCATATTGGATAACTATGTGAAATTGACCGACTGTGAGAAGGTAAGACACCATACAATTGCAAATGATGTTTTCGGATATAGAATGTTGAATTTTGTCAAATTGGGTGTGAAATTTGTTGCAGATAATGATCACAATAAATACCATAATTC